GTCTCAAAAAGGGTTCACCCGCGGCCCCGCAGGCCGCTGACAGAAGGGTCACGGTTTGAGGCATTTGGTCGCCGTGCCACCCCATTGAAACCCGAAAAACGACTCAAATTTTGGGATTCTAGGCTTTTTGGTCCCCGTGTGAGTATGCCCTCTGGGCTTTTTGGTCCCCGTGTGAGTATGCCCTCAGGCGCTTACTCCAATCCTCTTTTGCTACCGTAGTGGGACCTCGGCCCCGTGGGGCGTGCCCGACTTCTGACGAGATCAGTTCTGATTTTTTTTTATTTTTTTTTTCCTTGTTCTGATTTCGGGTATATACAGGGGCGTGGTCCCACTAGCAAAGAGGATCGGATCGAATGCCTGAATCTGGACGCGTTTATGGAGATGTGCAGGAAACCGAGATTGAACTGCTTTTCTGCATCTGTGCTTAAAATACATCCAGATTCAGGAGCTCGATCCTATCCTTTTTGCTACTGGGACCTCGGCCCAGGTCCTTCCCATCCGATCTGAAAATCTGACGCCCACATTGTGAACACGTTGAAAGACACTCGAGACCAGAATTACACGTAATCGGCCCTTTTTTTTTTGTAAAAAAAAAACAAACCTTCTCCAAAGTGGAGCACGGCACCCGCGCTTCCTGCCGCCGGCACTGCTTGTACTCGACTAGAGAATTCTTGAGACGACATCCCCAACAAAACACTTGGGGTTTAATAGACAAGGGAGGTTCAGGCTTGCCCGAACAGGGGGGGGGAATATATATCTATATATATTGCACGAACCCAGCCCGTGTGGCTTAATCGTGCGTACACACATGTAGCAGTTTTTGTTTTCCTCCCTGAACACTTGGGTCATCCTTTCGAAAGGGCCATTCTAATCTTCTATGTACCACCCAAAAAAAAAAAAAAAAAAAAAAAAACGTCCGTAGATGACGTCCGTAGGCCCCACGGGATTAAGAGACAACAACGTCCGTAGATGACGGAAATGGACGGCGGCGATGGCTCCCATACTTGGATCCCAATACAGCAAAAAAAAAGTGTGCTCGCTGACGGCAGACCTTATATATCTCCTGGGGGGTGGCGAGGCCCCACTTTCGGACCGGATTTGTGGATTGGACGTAACGTCTGAAACTGGCCTGAAACTGGACGTGTTTGTGGAGAGGTGCAAATGATCGCAGTCGATCTATTTTTCTGCATCTCTGCATACAACACGTTCAGATTCAGGCGCTTAATCCATTCCTCTTTAGCTAGTGGGCGCTTGCCCCCGGATTGTCCCTCCTCTGCCTGCCCATCTTCTTTTCAACCATCACTTAGAAATAACCAAGTCCCGCAAGTGGAACCTTGGGCATCGCTTCACTACACAGCATTCTAAACGCATCTCCACTGAGTTATGATCCCGGTACATTCACGACCGAGTCAAGATTCTGTATGAATCGGGACATCTTCAAAACCAGATACATTTCGAATGTTTTGGCCCTTGTCCCTGAGACCCATCGCCCAACCGAAAAAACGGTTGCCTGTTCCAGCTTAAACTGTTCTTTTATCGTTCTGCCTTCCTACTTCCGTTTCCTTTTCCTGGCTGCCGTTGATTGTTTCTTGTTTACTTTCTTCGTTTTTTGTTTTTTTTATAACCATCCGTTGC